ACAATATTAGCTTTGTGCACTCACCTAAACGGATGCTGAATTGAAAAACCAAATCGCTAAATGAAAGTTAATATGCCCTTCCTCGATTGCAATAAATATCATGATACATTATATAGTGAAGTTTAAAGTTAATAAACTTCTGGAAATAGACTAAGAGCTTAACAACTTTAGATTGAAGAATATTATTTTAATTGTGTTTGACCTTCGAGATTGCCGACGCAAGTAGAACCTACAGTTTTTCTTTATACTGAATAGACAGAAAAGGACGGGTAGCGGTCCAGAATCTTCAACCTGGTGAAATTGAATTCCACCGATCCTATTTTACTTTGAAAATTATGGGCAGTAACTGAGATATACATTCTACTTTTAAAACGAATTGACATACTTTGATATTAAATAGTGTAAAAATAACAAGAAATACTAGAACTGTGAACAGCTCCGAGCGTGGCACGAGACCTTATCTCATGACTTTCGGACCTTTTGAAACTTCTAACCTGTTGGCTTTCAACCCCGGTGCTTTTAAGCCTACTACTAGTGAACTCGAAATAAAAACTCTCGGGTATCGGGTAAATGTAACTTGACCATAAGTTATAGTCCATTTGCAGGTTATTTTGTTTTATGTAGGAAAGAATTTTAATTATTTTTAAGGAGAAAATAGACTTGAATAATGTGACTTTTTCATATTGATATCATCTTAATATGGTGATTGCTTTCCTTTTATAAAGAATTTGGGTAGAGAGTTCTATATATGTTATTATTCATTATGGACCCCAATATCGCCTTTGTTTGGCATAACATCTATTTTATGGGAATCTTTACGTGGCATTGTATCTTTATATTGGATTAATAATCCCCAAATATGAAACTACTGTTTTTATGTAAACGTAACTATTTTGTGTGCTACCTCTATACCAGCGACACCATATTGATTATGACAGATTAACCAGCGATAAATGTTTTGATGAGATTAAAAACAGCCTACCATTAGTGAACAAAAATCTTAAATCTGGATAAATTGGGAAAAGCCTCGAATTATTAACTCAATGAAAACTTGGTTATAATTATTACAATACCATTTATTGGCAATTTACGTTTATAACCTTGTATCAGTCTGTTTGGGCTCATTCTCATTAGGACTAATTCCCATTTGAGCTACTATTTTTCCTATCATTGTCTAGTAAATTTATTATTTTCACATCACATTTTGATATCATTGACCTCTACCCTCGGAATATTGCCTGATAGATTTATTTTTTTATTTTAGCTGTTATGTGTCCACAAGGTGTGAATATCATTAACTCAGATGCTGTAACAGAATCCGGTATTTTTGGTGATAATTTTACTTTTAACTGTCCTGAAGTTAATCAGCTGACAGAAAATAATTATACGGGTACTCTGTTGTGTGGTGAAGATGGTAAATGGATAGTACAGCAGGCTTGTCCAGGTAATTTAGGTTTAATATTGTCTATTGTGTATAGTTGGACGAAGATTTATATTTCTAACAAAGTGATCTTTCTTGTTAAGAAGACAATATGGCCTCATTATGATTGTTGTTTTGATTAACTGAGATCTTCTTATTATATAATACTCATTCTGTTACTATATAACGGATCTTCAGCACAAATTCTTCACTTTTAAAATGTCATAACTTCCAGCGATATTAGAGGGGATGTGGTTTTAAATACGATGGGTTGCATGCCAAGGTAATCAAATCATCAAATCATAAATATTTCATTATAGAAGAAGAATCAAAAATACAATTATATCTACAAGATACAAATTGTTACAAACAATTTTATGTACCAAATATTGTTAAAAGGTGAAAAATAAATAAATCTGTATCTAGTAATTAATTAGAGTGTAATTTAATATAATAAAAACGGGTAAAATCATGTTTTACCACTGAATAGGGGGCTTACTGGATAGAAAATAAATGATATTTAGTAAATTTAGACCAGTAATAACAATAACTTTTGTGGATATAAAACAGTCTGGTTCTCGGGTGCCGTAATATTGGGGTCAACCATAGAATCAAATAGTTTAAATGCGATTTTAACGGTACGTTTACATATAGATAAATTTATAAAGTTAAGTGCCTTTCTTGCATGCAGAGATAAAGTTTTAAAACAAAGATTCCACTTGAGTCTATTTGAAAATATATTTCTAAATATTTGTAATAACGAACAACATCAATCAGGCTTTCCTGATTTGACAAAATACCTCCGTTCTTGACAACTGAGACTTGGGATTTAATCAGACTGACTTTCATGTTCCATTTCGAACAATATTTATCAAGCACATCAAGTCATCTACATTCAGATCTTATCATGAGTGTAAGCTTGATCTAAATATCAAATAACCATCTGCAGAACATGTTCCAGGAGCTCTAACTTTTCA